TGCAGCTTTGGCTCTGCGTTGCTGCTCCACAACTTAATAAGCACGGGACCTTAGGACACTTCCCCAACCTCTTTCGGTCTTAATTTTCTTATAGGTAAGTGGGAACAGCTATTTCTTTGGTTGATGTCACAGTCAAATGAGACTGAATGAGTAACTCACTGGCACAATAAAGAGATAGTTGCCACAAGACAGAACGAGCTGTTGTGATCTCTTCTGCTTGCCCTCCACCTCCAGGGCGACCTTAATGCTCCCCCAGCCTGGAAAGCACTCCTGGGACTTCACTGTGTGGGAAAGGTCCTCCTATTCCAAGAAGCTTCCCAACTGCAGACCACTGTTTTCTCCATCCTTCAAAATCATTTATTTATTTATTCATTCATTCAGCAAAAACATTCACTGTGCTCAAGGCACTTTGCTAGATCCTATAGGAGACTGAAAAAAAATTCAGTGTTTTCCCCTAGGCAGCTGACACCCAAATATATGAAGCTATGTAGTTAGTTACTGTCAGGAGCCAGGGTGTTAACCAGAGATAAAAACATCTACCGCTGTTTTAAGAATCAAATGAGAGTGGCTTGATAAATGCTGTGATTATGACTATTATGATTGCCACCACGCCACTGGTTTGGCACTCATTTTGCTGTTTGCAGTCTACATGCGTGGTCCCCATCAGGCCAGAAGAGGCTTCCAGCCAGTGCTTTTAGACCAGCTCCTGGTCTGGCACAATGTTGTGGACATAAAAATACCGTTTGCTGGATGTTTCAGTCCCACAGAGACTTTGTATAATTTCATCACCAAGACAACACCCTATTCCAAGTCAATATGGCCACTGTCGACAAATCCATACAAAGCCACCACTGCTGGAGAAACACAACTCTACACTACTAGGGTCCAGAATGCAGTTAAACTTTGTCTGCAGCAAAGTCTGTATGTTCATTCCTCAAATGCTCAGTGAGCATGTACCACGTGTGAGGCACTGCGCTAGGCAGAGGGTAACAAAGTGAACGGGATCCTATGACAGAGACCAAAACCTGTCCCCTCCAGAAAGTCCCGCCTGGTGGGGGAGATCACACGTGCACAACTACTAGATAATGTGAGGGAAAACCTATACTCTGCAGTCACCATGACCAAACAACTGCAAAACTAGTATTTCCACAATCTTCCTAATCTCAGTAAATGGTAACTACATTTGTCCAGTGCCTTAGGCAAATACCCTGGAGTCAGCCTTCACACCTCCCTTCTCTCACACTCCAAGACCAGTTCACGGTCAAATTCCAGGGGCTCTTCCTTCAAAATGCATCCAACAGTCCTCACCACCTCCATCCCCACGGCCCCAGTGTAAACCATCATCTTGTTCCTGTCTTACTCTAATAGCCTCCCATTAGGCTCCCTGCTTCCACTCTCATCTCCTGACAGGAGAATGATCTTATGAGAACGCAGGGCATGTGACGTTATATCTGTCAAAATTGTCCAAGCACTTACCATCTCACTGAAGTAAAAATCAAAACCCTAACAGCAACAGCCTGCAAGGTGGTCACCTGTGACCTGGCCTCACGTGCTCCTACCTGCTGACTCCTCTCCAGCCCCTGCCCTCCCTGCTGCGCACAAACGCTGCTAGTACCTCACACCCCAGGCTTGGTCTTTGCTGTTCCCTCTGTCTGGTGTGCTCCTTGCCAAGCAACACGTGGCCTGCTCCTTCACTTATGAGAGGGCCTTCCCAGACCATCTTATCAGAAGGAGGCAATTCCCACCGCCACGACAGCCAGCACTGCCGACCCCACCCTCCTGTGGTCCTCCACGGCCTTTACCCCTGTTAGACAAACTCAATACTTACTTATCTGTTTAGAGTCACTCTTGTCCAACCAGAGTGGAAGTGTCATAAGGGAGGATTTTGTCTGTTGTATGTGTTACTGCATCGTCACAATCTAGAACAGCGCCTGGCATTTAGTGGGTAGTTAATACATAACTGTTGAATGAATGAATGATTAAAGAAATGAATTAATGAATGAAAGAGCAAATAAATAAGTGAAACGTGTATAGAATACTAAGGTATTGGAGAAGGAACTAGAAAGTTAGGAGGCAGGAAATTATATGTATGAGACACAACAGCAAAGGAAGCCCACATAGAAACCTGACTCCCTAAAAGGGAGAGATTCAGATTACATGCTCCTACATTATTCTGCCTTGAATTATAATTATGTGTATATGCTTTACCTTTTCTATGAATTATAAGTTCTTTGAGGACACAGACAGTGTCTATAATGGTTAATTTTAAGTGTCAACCTGACTGGGTCACAGGGTTCTCAGATACTTGATTAAGCACTACAAATGGGAGCCCTATGAGGATGCCTCGGGTGAGATTAACATTTGAATTGGTAGACTGACTAAAGTAGATGACCCTCCCCCATGATGGGGGCCTCACCCAATCAGTTGAAGGCCTGAATAGAATAAAAGGCTGAGTTAGAAAGAATTCTTTCCTTCTGCCTGACTGTCTTTGAGCTGAGACATCAGTCTTCTACCTTACCACTTGAACACAGGCTGGTACCTGCACCGTCCTCCTGCAACAGAGTCAGTACAGTGTTCTGCACATACAGGTGCTCAGCACACTGTCCAGATGAATGGTGATGCCCTTTAATGGAAGATCAAGCCAGATCATCACCAGGGTGCTGCCCACTACCTTAATATATCCACTCCTGCTACTCTCAGAATCAGGACTTAACTGTATTAAAGCTGTCTATTCCCCAAAGCAGTATGTTCCACGTTTACAACCTAATTGCTCACTTGACGCTAAAAAAAAAAAAATAAAAATTCAAAGGTCATCTTCTCTTAAGACAATTATGAGAAAGCAGTGAGGTACCTGCAGTATTCTTTTTCTTTCATTAAAAAAAACTAATAGATTTTATTTTTTAGATTAGTTTCAGGTTTACAGAAAAATTGAGTAGAAAGTACAGAGAGTTCCACATGTCCCCTTCCCATCAACATACTCCACTAGTGTGGGAAAGCTGACGAACCAACGTTGACAGATTATTATCAGCCAAAGTCCACAGTTGACACTAAGGTTCACTCTTGGTGCTGTACAGTCTATGAATTTGACAAACGCATAATGATGCACACCCACCATACAATGTATCATACAGATTAGTTCCACTGCCCTCCAAATTGCTTCATCTGTTTATCCCTCCCTTCCCTTAGCCACTGGCATGACTGATCTTTTTACTGTTTTCAAAGTTTTTCCTTTCCCAGAATGCTATATAGTTGGAATCACATAATTGTGTATCTTTCAGACTGGCTTCTTTCACTTAGTAATATGCATTTAGGGTTCATCCTTGTCTTTTCATGACTTGATAGTTCATCTCTTTTTATTACTGATAATATTTCACTATATGGAGGTATCATTGTTTATATAATCAGAAACACAAGAGGAGACATTATAACTGATACCACAAAATATGAAGGATCATAAGAGATTACTATAAACAATTACACACCAACAAATTGGATAAGCTAGAAGAAATGGATAAAATCCTAGAAATGCAGGCTACCAAGACTGAATTATGAAGAAATAGAATCTGAACTGACCAATAATGAACAAGGAGATAAAACCAGTCATCAAAACCTTCCAACAAAGAAAAGTCAGGACCAGACGGTTTCCCTGGTGAATTCTAGCAAACATTTAAGGAAGAATAAATGCCAATCCTTCTCAAACTCTTCCAAAAAACAGAAGAGGAGGAAATATTCCCAAACTGGTTTTATGAGGCAATTATTACCCTGACATCAAAGACAGATAAGGGCACTACAAGAAAAGAAGAATACAGCCTAATTTCCCTGATCAGTATGGATGCAAAAATCCTCAATAAAATAGCAAATCATATTCAACAGCACATTAAAAGGATTGTCCACCATGATCGAATGGGATTTATCTCTGAGATGCAAGGAGAGTTCACCATAAGCCAATTAAATATGACACACCACATTAATAGAATGAAAGACAAAAATATATAAACATATCAATGGATGCAGAAGAAGCATTTAACAAAATTCAAAATCCTTTCATGACAAAAACTCTCAACATCCTAGGAGAAAACATAGGCAGTAAGCTCCTGGACATCAATCTTGGTGATAATTTTTTCAACTTGATACAGAAAGCAAAGGCAACAAAGGCAAAAATAAACAAGTGGGACCATATCAAACTCAAAAGTTTCTGCATAGCAAAAGAAACCATCAACAAAATGAAAAGGCAAGATACGGAATGAGAGAAAATATCTGCAAATCATGTATCTGATAAGGGGTTAAAATGCAAACTAAATAAAGAACTCATACAATGCAACAGCAAAAATAAATAAACAAGCACTCTGAATTAAAAATGGACAGAAGATCTGAATAGACATTTTTCCAAAGAAGACATACAGATGAACAACAGGCACATGAAAAGGTGCTCAACATCACTAGTCAGCAGAGAAATGCAAACCAAAACCACAGTGAGAAGTCACTTCACACTTGTTAGGATTATTATTATCAAAAATATAAGAAATAAGTATCGGTGAGGATGCAGAGAAAAGAGAACCCTTGTGCACCGTTGGTGTGAATATAAATCAGTGTAGCCACTATGGAAAACAGTATGAACATTCACCCCAAAATTAAAAATAGAATATGAGCCAGCAATCCCACTTTTGGGTATATTCAAAGGAAATGAAATCAGGATCTTGAAGAGATGTCTACACTCCCATATTCAGTGCAGCTTTATTTACAATAGTCAAGGTATGGAAACAAACTAAATGCCTTTTTACAGATAAATGGATGAAGATGACGTGGTATACATACACAAGGGAATATTATTCACCCACGAGAAAGAAGTCAGTCCTGCCATTTGTGACATAGATAAAACTTACTAACATTATGCTAAGTGAAATACATCAGACAGAGAAAGACAAATACTGTGTAAGTGGAATCTTAAAAATCCAAAATCACAGAAACAGTAAAATGCTGGTTGCCAGAGGCTAGGGAATGGGGGCAATGAGGAGATATTGGCCAAAGAGTATAAACTTCCATTTAAAAGATAAATAAGTTCTGGGGATCTAATTACAGCATGGTGACTATAGTTAACAACACAGTATTATAGACAGAAGTTGCTAAGAGAGCAGATCTTAATAGTTACCACACACACAAAAGGTAACTATGTGAGATGATGAATGTGTTGACTAACCTTACGGTGGCAATCATTTCACAATATACAGGTGGATCAATCATCACGTTATATACCTTAAGTTTATACAATATTATATGACAACTATATCTCAACAAAACTGGATAAAAAATAAAAATAAAAATAAAATGGTGTACTTATCTACATTGCTATTATTTGTACCACTGCTCTTCAAAACAGGCTGTCTTCAAACTGCTCCTTATCCATCCGACACAAGGTAAGAAAACGCAAATGAGCTCACTACTTGCTTTCTTGAGCAAGACTTTCTGTGAAAAAATGCCAGTTGAACTACTGCAGTGTTTCATAATGTAGCTGATTTATATTCAGAAGCTCATAAGCCTGGACAGTTAACAATCATTTCACAGACTGCCACTGGTCCACGGACCTCAAGTAGCACTGATCAGTATTTTTATACACCACCCCTAAGATGCTGGCTTCCTTTCTCACACTACTGAGTCCAACTTCTTTAAGAACAGTGAATTTTTCTGCATCTTCCTTGATCTTCTGCAGAATATGTCAATATTCTTTTGGGGCTTTGATTAAAATGTACATGCTGATTATATATCTTTGACTTTTTCTTTTTCTGTCCCCATGGCCATCTTCTCATGCTCTTTCTGCCACCTGAATAAAAGGCATCCTTTAGGGTCTAACCACAGACATTTTTTCTGCTTTCTCTTTTCCCTCCTGATGTGCAGTCTCTTATGTTCCCAAGCTCTGTCTCAACCTTTACTTCTTGCACAGAAGCTGCAGTGGTGATATTTTCTGTACCCCTTGCAACATTGAGACAAACTTCTTTTGTACATAGTAGATGCTCAGTAAATATCTATGGAACTGAGAAAATAGTGAATTATGTGGATCATCTGGCATTATTATCAACCATAGAGTTAATCTGTTCTTACCACATTAAAGAAGCACATTAATTTGTGAAGTAGTAATAGCTACCATATTAAAAATATTAAATAAAATTAAATATTAACTACTAAGTACAATTGAAGAAAATTTAAATGGAAATGTTTTAAAATATTAAAAATAAAAAATATTAGAGACAAATTATTTCACTGTTGCATAGAGTGAAATAAGTTTACCATCAGAAAAAGAATATAGTAGGGATAATTTTAAAATTATTTTTAATTATTTCTACTTTTTAATTATTTCTGTAAACAGATGTGATAACATTGAATGTTAAAACAAGTATTCACTTGATAGAAAACAATAATTAGTTTACCATATAATGTATAAATCAAATGTACTACAAGAATGATGCTCTGGTGCCTCTGTCATTGATACACGAAATGCAGATGTTAGGAAAAGGAAACACACAGTAGTGTGCAAATGTGCAAGAATTAGCAGGCTGCGTTTCAGCATAAACCCCAACAACCACTGAACTCAGTAGTGCTTGGGTCTGGCCTCAAGCAAAGTAATTAATCACAGGCCAGGCCAGTGTGAAACTGATTATGGAAAATATTGAACCTTGTGGGATTTAATTTTAGTGATATTCATGCACCAATTAAATAACTGCAGAGTAATGCTTTGCTCTTTAGGACAGTAGTAATTTATATACTTACAGTAACCAGCAAGAAGATAAACTAAAAACGATTACTATATGTATTGAAGGATGTGAGGGTTATTTTACTACAATTTTTATTCTTTGTTTTTTCTTTTTAAGGAAGTTAGTTTTAAGCCATTTTCAGCTAAAGTTTAATTTTTCAGGGCTGTACTAACCAGACTGTGACAACAGTCCTGCAGATTAGATGAGTGACTCCTCATTACAGCACTGAGCCCAACGACTGCTCAGAACGTGCCCGGAACGAAGCTGTGGCAGGCGTGACCGAACAAGAGACAAAGAAGGACTATTAAAAGTCCTATGATATTTATACAGGTAGCATTCGGCAGTATACAACGTACAATGTACTTTTAGTCTTAATTTTATTTGTTTAAGCAGAAAGATAGTTTATTGGAAGCATGTTGGGAGCTCACAGAATCAGTGGAGGCTCAGGAACAGGCAGGGAGTAAAGGCAGGAGGCTGCAGGCTTGGTGGCTGGAAGTAAAATAACAGTCGGTGGTATGTTGCTGTTTATCCTCAATGTGATGAACACAGCATGTCTTATGTATGATTTCTGAACAACAGAAATGTCAGCGAGGAGTCTATAAATCCACCAAATGGGAGGCAGCATGAACCCAACAATGGTCTCATTTACACGTCTTAACGTCAGCAGTGCCATCACCTTCAAGTCTTTACAGGAAACTTGCTTAAGAAATAAGACAAACTAATGTGTTAAACGAATAGCACATATATAATGTGTGCTCTGAAGGAGAACATTCTGAGAAGGAGACTGGTCAGGCCCCACCCACAGGACAGTAGGCAACTGTTCCAGTCAGAGCCCCGACAGGGGAGAAGCAAGACTGAGGGTCTGGGGGGTGCCAGGAGCTATAGCGGGCGCTGGGGATGCAACGATCAGAAAAGAAAAGAAGGCACTGGCTCTGCCCCTCACATCCAGCCTTCCCCGCTTCCTCCCTCAATGGTACAGCTTCCTTCAAAATGCCTTGCGGCTGCTCCTTTCCCAACCACCTCCACACCTCAGGTCTGCAGTGCGTGTGAGCGCCTCCTGCTCCCAATATCCCTGATCCTCCAGCCAGGACCTCACTCATTCTTAAGTCTTTCCTCTCCCTCATTGCCCACTACAGTGCCCTGTGGATTTCACCCACTACGCCCGGCCCATCCACCTCCTCCACACCACTCCCCACATATCCCTTCTCTCCCGCATCTGCTCCCCACTCAGGTCAGGCCTCCACCAGTTCTCACTTACCTGTTCTCCATGCCCCTAACGTGAGTTATTTAAATTTAAATCTCCTTTTCTCTATTTTTAAAATGGAGATGATGATGATGGTGATGGTGAAGGTGATGGTGATACCATTCATCTTACGTTTCTTTACAAAATAAAATAATTGATACACATAAAAAACTTAGAATTAAGTGTCTGTAGCACAATAAATACTCAATTAATAGTTGTTATTATTACTGTTATTATTGACTGAGAGTGCCAGAGAGAGGAAGAGGGATAAAAACAAGGTTCAAGCCCCACCCCCAACACCCCCTAAACCCTTAACATACTTACACTACACTGTATAGTTATTTGTTCACTTGTCTGTATCTCCTACCAGACCATAAATTCATTTTGTGTCTAGAAAATAGTAGGTAGGTAACAAATGCTCATTGAATTAAAAAAACATTTATTTGTAATTATACATTATGTACTCATTTAATAGCCTTTAATGCCATTTTAATCAAATAGTGACAGCAGAGTATGATTATAAAAATACATGGAACATGGATTTTTTAAAAATTATTGTGGGCTTTATCCTCTTCTCTCAAAACTAAACATTACATAGGCAGAGCACACTCAGGCTCTAATGGAAAATGATGCTCAAATATTTAACTTTGCAAAATGTCATATTTGAATCACTTTACCATCACATATGTGAAGCGATGTTAGACAGTCAAGGCATCTGCTTCCTTGGCCAGAAAGTGTAGGCATTCATGGAGACTGAAGCTGGAGACAGCCAATGTCAAACAACAGCCTCCAGAAGCCACAGGGTGGCCCACAGCCCAGGGCTGCTGCAGGGAAGAGGGTAGGAGGCTGACACTCGTCCCCATCTCTCACATACACTCCAGATCACAGGGCCCCTAATTTCTCCTGCTACCTCTGGGTCAATACTTCCTCATTCAGTTCTGTTCAACAGTACTTTGATGGACTTCACTAGTCCTCAGCTAGTCACAGTCACGCTCAGAGAGGTTACTGGTGAAAGAGATGGTAATACATGATACATAATCTTCAATTCCTTTTCTTAAAAAAAAATTTTCCGGTTGTATTGAGATATAATTGACATATAACATTATGTAAGTGCACGGTATACAATGTGATAATTTAATACACGTATGTATTGTGAAAAGATTGCCACAATAGCCACAATAAGGTTAGTTACTACATTCATCACCTCACATAGTTATCCTTTCTTATGTGTGTGCACTAAGAGCTTCTAAGATCTACTCTTTCAGGAACTTTCTGAAAGTCTACAATACAACATTATTAACTATAGTCACCCTGCTGCTGCACATTAGATTCCCCAGAAACTTACTCATCTTACACCTGGAAGTTTGTGCCCAGCCCCTGACAACCACCATTCACTTCTGTTTCTCCAAGTAAGATCATACATTTGTCATTCTCTGTCTGACTTATTTCACGTAGTGTAACGTTCTCATGGTTCATCCATGCTGTTGCAAATGGCAGAATTCCTTCTTCCTCATGGGTAAATAATATTCTAGCACACACACCACATATTCTTTCTCCATTCACCCATGGACATACAGGTTGTTTCCATATCTCAGCCATTATGAATAATTCTGCAATGAATAGGAGAGTGCAGATATCTCGTTGAGATCCTGATTTCATATCCTTTTGATACATACCCAGATGTGAGACTGCTGGATCATATGGTAGTTCTATTTTTAACTTTTTGAGAAACTTTTACAATGGTTCCCATAGTGGCTGCACCAATTCACATTCCCACCAACAGTGTACTAGGGTTCCCTTTTCTCTGCATCCTCACCAACAGTTTTTACCTCTTGCCTTAGTAATAGCCATCCTAACAGGTGTGAGGTCGTTTTCCCTGATTAGTGATGTTGAGCATGTGCCTGTTCATGCCCATGTGCCTGCTGGTCATTTGTATCTCTTCTTTGGAAAGTGGATACCAATATCCTTCGCCTATTTTTACATCTTAGTATTTGGGTTTTTTGCTATTGAGTTGTATGAAGTCCTTACAGATTTTGGCTATTAACTCATCATCAGAAAGATAGTTTGCAAATATCTTCCCCCATTCTGTGGGTTACTCTTTCATTCTGTTGATCTTTTATTCCTTGAGGGATACAAGCTACAGTTTAAAGGCCTTAGAAAACAGGGACCTTGCATATGAATTCAGAGAGGCAGCAGAGGGTGGACTTCACACTTGTTGGTTGTGATGAACCTTGGAAGATGGACAAGGTAGACTAAGAGATGAGCAGTAGGAATGGTCATTAGTGAGGCTGAGAAGTAGAAAGGCCCTCAGGTGGAATAGTGTGTGGAGAACAGTTATGACCATAACATTAAATGAACAGATGGGAGAACACAGACAAAGATGAATGATAATGACACAGCATGAAGGCACACTCCAGACATGCAGTGAGGAGCCTGAAGGACCTGAGCAGGAGAGTAAAAATTATCCGCACAATTGTCTGCCAAGGGACAACTAGAGGAGGAGAAAGTTAAATGGCTACTGGAATGTTCTAAGCAAAAAGAAAGGAGACGTCAGCTTCAGCCACGAAAAAGAATAAAATAATGAGATTTGCAGCAACATGAATAGACCTGGAGATCGTCATGCTTACTTTTTACTGAAGGTCTGCTGTGTATCAGACAGTGCTTAGTGCAGTCTATACCTTATCTCACTTAAATCTGTTTCAACCTATTCTGAGAGTTGTGATTGATGATCACCAATTGACAGATAAAAAAACACAGGTCCACAGAAGCAAGATGGCTTGCCTATGCTCAAAGAATAAACAGTGAAGATGGTGAATAACCCAACAAAAATTAATTAGATAAGCATCCACTACTTGTCAGGAAGTATGGGAAACGGAGAGAAACAGTCCCTGCTGCTGTATTCAAACTCAGATCTGACTCCTAAGCTCTTGCCTTTCTTCTTTCACTACTACTGTTCACTCTTACAAAAGTCCCTCATCTGACACAGTTATAGCTTTTGACTATTGCCATGTTGTGCTGATATTAAGCCTAAATTTAATTTTTTTTAAAAAATCATTATTACTTGGATAAAGAATGTGTTTTCACCCTCTCATTTAAAATGTTGATAATCATAGGGAGCCATAGTATTTTGTGCTTAGCTGCTCATTATTCATATTTTAAGTAAGAAACCTGACACCATCTCTCAGATCAACGTAAAGGAACAGTTTACATCAAAACTGAGGCCTTCTCCTCACTCTCACTGTCCCACGTTTCCTGAAGCAGAACAATTACTTTAGCTTTGAAATAATATGCCAGGTTTCTGAATAGAGTATAAAAATCTGTTTAGGTCAAAGTACCTAAATTAATTTAAAAAGATCACTAGAAAGAAAAAAATCCATGAATAATTTGCATATTTTTATATGCAGGATGTTAAACACTGAAATACACATGAAATTCTCTGAGAATTAAAAAACATTTTTTCATTCACTTAATAAATATCAATTAAGCACTCATTAAGTCTGAGGCAACATTATAAGCATTATGAGAGATACAGAAATTGCTGAAAGAGGATACTGTTTCCAGGTGTTTCACTGTGACAGAGCGTAAGACACAAGGAAGACAAACATTATTCTAGTTAAACTAGCATGTGGTTTGGAGAGACTATTCCCATGGGTCTCTTACATTTCTGCATGTATTGTGAGTGAGGCACCGACTGCCCCAGGCTCTGAGCTCTCTTTTCTAGGATGTTTCTATAGCAAACAACCTTGGATGACAGACCAGTATCTCCCTTCAAGGCAAATAGCAGTTTTGCTTACAATCCTGGGAGATGCCATGTGACTTGCAGAGCCAAGGGTAGGCATGCTTACTGTCCTGTACAGTAATGTTTCCCTCCAGAGCAAAGGACAGACATGCTTCCTACCCATTATAAAAGATTTGGGTTCCATACGCTCAATGATCCTCTCCTACAAGGCAACCTACTTTGTGTGACTTACGAGTTTCATGTCTTCTAGCAGCATCTCTGAACCTATGATAGACTAACATGCTGGTTTCAAACTTGGGCAAATCACAGATCTTTCACAGTTTTTGACAGTGGTACGTTGCAACAATGGCTACAAGTTCTTCCCCTGCCTGCATCCGTGTCCTTTGGTATACCTTCTTACACCGACTCGGCTCAGCCATGTGACTTGCTTGACTATTGGGACCTTACTAAAGAGGACACAAACAGAAGTTTGAAAGGTATCTGTGCATTGAATCTAGCCCTCTTGCTGTTTTGAGAATTTAGATGTCACGTGAAAAGGTCCAAACAGGTTGTTTGTGAAAAATACATGCCCAGTGTCCCCTACAACCCCAGCCACGAGCCAGCCATTCACCATATAGGTGAACAGGGCAAGCTCAGACCATCCAGCCTCCAGCCAACTCTCCAGTTAACCGCTGATGTGTGAGTGAATCCAGTACAGATCAGGGAAGTGGGCAGGCCAGAGGAACTACCCAGCTCCTAAGCTTTGGGGTGGTTTGTTATGCAACAGAAGTTAACAAAGATACAGGGTATAAGGCAAAAATGACTTCCAGTATAATAACTACATTACAAGTTCCAGAGGGTTCAGTCTATGTCTGGTTAAATATTGTGTAACTACTATACTCAGAACTGTGCCTAGAAAAGAGTTAAGTGCCAGTGGTTCCAAGTTTGTCTTGGTTTCTCTATCTGAACAGCCAATACAGATATCACTGAAATTCCACCTCACAAGCAGGTCATGAGACTGAAGGAACTGTGTCTGAATCCAGCAGGGTACGTCATTATGTAGGAAAAGCACAACTTGGTCCTCAAGGAGACAAATGCTCCAGTGTGTGAAAATCAGCTCTCCTACTTAATATCTGGCAGTCCTTGAGCAAGTTATTTAAACATACTGCACTTTAGTTTCCTTACCTGCAGAATGGGAATAATAAAGCTTTCTTCACAGACTTTATAACACTGGTGTTATAAAGGAGGCACTCTGTGCATGACATACTACAGCACGAGGGGGGCTGTGGTAAAAGATGAAAAACTCGGAGGAGAGTCAACACTGTTAAATGCCAGCAACAAGGGAAGTGCTCTCTGGTGCTCACATAGGTGCACTCGCCTGCACATTCTCTCTCTCTCTTATATACGCACATGCGCAAAACCAAACCTCAGATTCAATCCAAAAGCCAGCCCACAGAGACCTAAGAGGAGAGAAGCTAGGTACCAAGAGGGCTGTATTAGGGTCTACAAGAAGACAAAACTCAATTACATAATGTGCACGGGTTACATGCAACAAGCCAAACTATGTTGTTTCAAGAGCCCTTCAAGTAATATAAGCTTCCTGGAAAACTAATGCCTGACAATGTGAGAGTGTATAAAACGTACATTGTATTAATGAAACTAGAAGATCATTTTACAGATATTCTGCTTCATTTCTGCAGTTTAGAATTTAATCCCTACTTTTAATTTTAGAGAGATATTTCAAGTAATTACTTCCTTATTCTCTATATTACCAGGTTTCATCACATTTAAAACACTTTTTAAAAAATCTTTCTTTTATGATTTGGCATCTTGGAACATTCTCTTTAACTGCTAGATGGCAATTGAGTACAGTTAATATTGTCTCTTAAACATCAAAACACAAGATTACTGTTGAAAATTTCTAAATAAAACCAACAAATCACCCCAGGCTGGAGTTAGTTTCTGTATCATTTTGAAAACATCGGGAAGGAAAATTTTTTAAATTTACAATTAAATTTATACTGTCATTTATACAGAGATTGTATGCTATTATGTTCTGAATCACCAATTAACTGAAATAACATTGAAAAGCAAATTAAATAAGAATTAAATAATACATATTTAGAAATTTATATATCAAACATTTCTGGTTAATAATTGTTAAGATTTTCTTTCTTACACCCATATAAGAGGTAGAACAGGATGCTTGTTAAGTGTCAGACATGGATTTCAATGGAAAATCTGCCACTTTGGAATTAGGTGACTTATTATTTAACCTCTGAGTTACCTCAAATCACTTAACTTCTGAGATTCAGTTTCCTTGCACATAAAATGGGGATTTTTATAGTACGTGTATACGTTTATAAAATGGATTGTTGTGAGGATTAAATGAGATATGCATATAAAGTCCTTTGTCCACCACCTGAATCACAGGAAATACTAAATAAATTACATCAAATTTAGATATGACCATACTATACACTTTCACCTTCAACAACAACAAACATCATCACATAGTGTAGGCCACTGGAAACCAAACTCCAGAGTTCTACTAATCAAGACTACAGTCTTCAGCTATACGAACGCCCACGTGTTGACTATTAAGATCCTTTAGGCAATTCCATCTCTGTCCCTGGGGCAGAGAGTTGGAAAGCACTAAGACAAGAACATGCGTAGAAAACTAAAAAATCAGAAACACCACATCTATTTAGGGACTTTTTAAAAAATAAATTGTTTTATGGATTGTCCTTTTGATCCGGAATCCAGAAACACCCTGCCCCCAGCCTGCACCCTTTTACGGAGTACTACATGCCACACTTTCTTAAGGTGGTAAAGTGTCAAAGACCTCTCGGCTCCAGTGCACAGGGGTGGTCTGCTCTCCACTGAAGGGACATCCAGTGTCCAGCCCAGGAAGGATCCCAATGGGGCCCCAGTCTCAGTGTGGCCTGGAAAGCTCCCCAGTATTCACAACTCTGGGGGCTATTTAATAGGCTGATGGCTGTGTGACAGTTCAGGAAACTCTGTCATCCTCTGTTTATTGACTATCTTAAGAGAAACAAATAAACTACCTCGACTTACCCGGAAATAGTCGCTGCAGGCTGCTAGGACTGCCTTGTGAGCATGGAATTTCTGTTCCTCAGCAATCAGGGTGACATCGCAGAGGATGCCATCACTTCTCTGCTGATTCAGTGCCGCCAGGACGCTATCATTGTGAGATTCCGAGTGGCAGAGCCTCTGGCCCGTCAGCATTTCTTGAATACTGCGAAAGAGAGGGATCAAGTCAACATTCTAGCTCTCACCAGCCCTGGCTGCCTAACACGCCCTCACTCCTTCAACAGCAACTCAGGGAATGTGGACTCCAGCACCTAAAGTAGTGTGATCTTTCTAGTCCCTCATTCCTTTCTCTCCACCATCCTCTTGCTTTCCTTTTCTCTAATTCTCTCTTTTCCTCACCCCTACGTGATCTTTCTCTTTCCTACTAATCCCTCTCTTCAGAATTTGTGTTTGTGTGTGTGTGTCCATCTCTGCTTGTGTATTGGCCCATGTCTGCAGGCCTGTGAGCACCTGCTTCTGGGCCCCTGTCCCCTTGATAAGTATATATCTCTGAGTGTAAAGCTTTCTCTGGATGTGTGTCTGGATGTGTGCATGACTCCTTCCATTCTGGGACCCCTTCCCTAGCTCCCTGATTCCTTTTCTAGCTTTGTACCACCTATGTGGGGTTAGCACAAGTTCAGATCATGATCACTGCCATGCACTGATCCAATACAGAACCCACTGGACCTGTGTGGCTCACCAGAGATACAGGAAGTTAGTTACCAAGTCTCCCCATAAGACACAATACTCTATTAATAAATAAAACAAAACTGAGCAAATATTGGGTAGGGAAGAAAGGACTGCTAATGACCACTTCATTTAAAAAGCCATTAATTAAACCATAACAGCTCATTATCAAATTTTGGAAATTATGCACCACTAAGAGAACATCAAAAGAAATGCCATTGTAAATGAAAAAACTTAAGGCTGAAAGTAAAATATATCTATATGATCAGCCTGCAATACCAGTGTGATATCATTGTACTAGACTTACGAATGACTATGCAATCTATTTTCTGTTCTATTTTGTGAAATTGTGAAACTTACCCTTTCACTCCATACCCCAACCTAAAACATTCATTCCATGTCCTTTCAAAATTCCTGGGTGAAACCCCAAATCTTCCTAAAACAATGTAGAAGTCACGCTATAAATTCCAAATACAAACTGAACTTATTGACAGTTTGAACAATTTCAGCTTAGATACATGAAAACCTTCACTGCATCTAGAATCTCAGGACCAGCGCTGGACTAAGACGAGTGAGCTGCACAGCTGTAAGTTACTCCCAGAATGAAAATGAGGATCATCAAACCCAATTTCTGGCCTGTGGACTCTTCTTAAAACTGGGTAAAGATACCAAAGGGATGAGTGCGCTTGTTCTCTCCCATCCTGACAACTCCTGCACCCAGTCCCACCCTCCGAGTGAGAAAGCCCCTCAGGGGAACCAGGGAGCCGCCACCATCCTAGTCTGCATGGCTGCTTTACTGACAAGGCTCTGCCCAGCCCGTGGTGCCAGCTGGCTGGTAAATGACAGTTCAGCACGAATCACCACCTTAAGGTAAACCAAATGCTTGCTGTGAAATGCCCGAGTGCAGCCAGTAGGATTTATCGGACATTTTTGACTGGGAGCCTCAGAAATGTCAGAACTATTGGGGAAAAAAAAAACTTGACAGGAGGTGATGACATAGGAAGTTCTCGTGGGAAGATGGGAGGATTATTTTCAGCTGAAATGCAGCAGTGAGTTTTGAAATGGTGACTGTCATCGAATATTCATCTAGTGGCTCTAGCTATAGGCAGACTTTTAAAGTCAGGAATTGAAAACCACACTCAGAAGCATAAATAATACTTATAACAAATTGCAGTGCAAAGCCTAGAATGGAGAATAATTAGCATGGCTCAATTAAAGAAATGAAGGAATAGAATAGTAATAGAAATATGGTATCAGCTAAGTAAGCTTGAGGCTAGTCTTTGAAAAATACTTCCTAAAAGAATAACATTTTTATATATTTTATAAACGCAAAGCTCTTATTATGTTCCATGAACTATTCTTAGTGATTTAAAATCGTTACTTCATGTAAACTTCATAACAATCTTATGAGGCAGGTATTATCTCTATTTCACAGATTAAAAAAAAACTGAATGTCCAAGATGAGGAATTTTGAGACCCTATCCCCATGAACATAACAATGTAATTCATCTTCTTGCTTAAAAAAATAAAAGAAACAAAACAAAACCAAAAAATGATAATCCCTAAAGAAGATCTCAAAAATCTATGCTAGAGGGGAAAAAAACCCCACAATGTCCATATTAATTATATACTTACATTATGCACAGTTAATCTCAAAATCAAAGTTACCATTGAAAAATAATACACATTAACATAATAACATGAGATAGTAATAAGACATGTTTGAAATCATGCTTCGAACACATTTATCTTTGCACTTTGTTTGGGGATAGAAAATAGATTTTAATTATTATAATCTTAGAACATTTATTTGAAACTCTCATAACTTTTCTCCCTTTTAATATCACCTTAAATGCTAAATAAATGTATTTTGAAATTTCATTTGTAATGGAACAGAAGAATACATTAAAATAATTGCCTTATAATGTTTCCCTACTCATTTTCCAAATATAGAGCCGCAATGCATGTCCTTATTATTGAGACTGAAACAGTATTTGCATTTCAGAGATCTATTAACATTGAATAAATCTTGCCAGGGAAAGAGCAGCTGTAAACTGAAATTTGGCAAAGGATAAAGGGCTCAGCTCTGAAACAATTGTGATGCCCAATTTCACAGGAGCATTCAATTGGGCTTGAAATATTCAAGCTTAAAGAAAACAGCATGCTAAATATTTAAGGCAACACTTGGCACAAGATTCCAAATATTTTGGAACCAATATGTTACGAATCCTTAAAAGCAGAAACAAATACTTCAACATTTGGCAAGAAGTAAAAGCCTATTAGTCAACAAGTCATTATTGTATTCTGAAAGTAACTTCCCACTCAACTCTCGGATGTGAACCTGCAAAAGATCTCAATCCTCTACATGCTAATGCACAAGCAGCCAAGGCACACAGCTGGAGGGGCACCGGCCCATGTCACAGCGCCCACAGTTGTAAACCGGGGGGGAGATGATTCAAAGACGACCACGAACTATGTCTAAATTAGGGTGGGGAGCAGACACATGTTTGCAAACAGCTCCTTGGCATCAAAAACTTATATACGAATTAGCAAACAAAACCTCCCAACGTACATTAATGTCCCTCCATTATGTGAGAAACAGAGAAGATGGAAGGAAAAGCATATTTCTAAAACTTCCAAAATTACTGGAAAACAAACAAACAAACAAAGAAACAAACAAATAAGACCCCATAAAACAGGAGCCTCACTTCCCAAGGGTATGCAGATTTGAGTGTCACCCTAAAATTGGGAAAGGTCTTTCATGGAAGCAATAATGCCACCTCAAAATTCACAAGTGAGTTCAGAGGCTAACATGGCTTCTTCAAGACAACCCCAATCCCCCTTCCTCCAGGGAATCGCTTAGAACGGCACTGTGTCCAACACAATAGCCAGTAGCTACATGTGGCTATTGAGGACTTAAAATGTGCATAGTCCAAACTGCGGCGTGCTGTAAGTGGAAAATGCACACTGGATGTCAAAGACCTAGTGTGCAAAAAGAAATCCAAAAGCATCTCATTAATATTTTTATATTGATTACATGCTGAAATGATAATATTTGGGACACACTGGATTAAAATATATTGTTAAAATTCTTTTTATCTATTTCTTTTTAATTTTAAAAAAAATAGGTCTACTTGAAAAGCTTTAATTATATACACGCCTCACATTATGGTTCTGTTGGACAGTCTACAAGTTTCCTGGGGCTATGTTCCTCATTTCTTTCTACCTCAACCCATCAGGCTGCTGATGCATGACTGTTCCTGAATCTCACAGGGCCCAGCCTCTGCCAGGTACAAAAGGGAAGCCCCAGGCTCCCTGAGCAAGAAATTGCTTTTTAGCGATGCCAGGGAGCAATGATTTGATTGGCCAAATGTCAGCATCCAGTAACAGGGAGATAAATATATGAGGTCTCAGGAGACAGGACTATTCATGACTTCAAGTCTTTAAGTTTCATTCTGGAATTGATAGTAAAAACTAAAAAATCAAATGCCCAGCATGATGTCCATAACATGGTGCACCTTCCAGTGAAGGTCCTTGCTAGTGCAAATCGCTGCTTCAAGTTCGTAGTTAACATTTTTGACCACAGAAATCTCTCAGGGTCTCATTTTCGTAGCATAAATTTTGACTGAGTTCAGTCAGTTCGTAAGATATAAATTCCAAAACAGCTGTCAGATTTTTAAACATCTGCATTTCAAATTTAAAAATTCAAGTCAATTTCTATATTGATGTTTCTTTAGTATTTAGATATACAAAATATATGCAAGTGGTTTTCAAGAAAGGTCGCCAATAAGGGATTACATACTTAAATATCGAAAACAGTCAAGTAGCATAAAGATCCTCACTTCCTAAATAGATTACACAATAAAGAAAAGGACTAGACAATACTTTACACACTAAAGAAAAGGGCTGGACAAAAAACCTGATAATACTGGAATTCTACATGATTATATCAGTTCAGTCTATTGATAAACTGTATCTTAATCACTTCAATTCCATAGTCAAAATATTTTACTACAAATTAAATATATTAATATTAAAACAACCCTATTTACTTAAGTGGACAGGCTGTTAAAAAAAAAACCCAGCATGGAACTTAATTTTATTCTTTATAGAACACTTTATAATATTTAAATGCTTTCAAATTAATGCTAACAATAGCAATGATCAAAATAATAAGCAAAGAGGATACAATACGTTTAGCGAATGATCAAGAAACAATGAAGACTAAGCAGAAAGTATGATAGTCTTGTTTCATTCCTTCCTACATTCATACAACAAACACTTACTCATCGTGTGCCAGGTATTGTACCAAGTACTGGCGATAAAATGGGGAACAAACCAAACTCTGTAGCAGCACTCACGGAACCTTCAGTTTAGTGAGGTGGTCACACTCTAATCAAACAATCTGGCCTCCCTGAAGAAGCCATGCTGCAGCTACAGGGTGAGAACAAGTTACCACGGCAGAAAGAAGGGAGGAGTTTTCCACGCAGGGAACAGCAGGTGCTCTGATCCTGTGGTAGAAGGGAGCATGGCCCTTACACAGAGCCTACAGAATGTTCATGGCCGGAACCCTGAGGACAAATGCGGGCCTGGAGCTCAGAAACAGGTCTTGGATAGAAGTATAAAACCAATCTGCAGAGAGAAGCTAATGGAAGCACAGCTGTGTCTCCAGAACACAGCAGAGAGATAACCAACTGTCAAAGGTTGCTGAGAAGATAAGAAAGATTGGATTCAAAACATGGAAGCAGGGCTGGGCTCTGTTGTGGGAAAGGACTGCCTTTTGCATAGCAGGAGGGAGGGAAGAAGTGGAACAGAAACACATATTAAAACTCTGGGCATTTTTTGGGCTTGGTGAATCTAGATTTATGGGAACCAATCTCCAGTGGACAATGTAGGCACAGAAACATGGATATGTGGGTTCATCTGGGTTGGGATTTTGTCAGGTAAATGCATCAAAAATGCAGAGAGCAAGAGATTAAGGATTTAAGGATTACTATTAAAGATTTTAAAGAATGATAGGATCTAAACTGGATAAGAAGGGAAATGAAGGAAAGAAAGGGTAGATGGATTGGTAGAACATGGCAGGGCCAGTGGGTGAGGCATTATGACGAGATCAAAGTACAACCACCATGGGGGTAGGCAAACTGACAGGCTAGAAGGGGAGGAGGTACTGGTAGCAGTAAAGTGGCTGGTGCAGGAGAAATAGAGCAACTGCTGGGGATGGAAGACCCATGGTGGGGCCATGGTAATAGGTGGCTCAGTGAGGGATAAGGTTTTTGGGGTTGAGCAGGCTGAAGATCCAAGGTCACAAAGTCAGACAGATCTTCTATGCAAGCACTGAAGGCACTGGGATGTTGTAAAGGGTTTGTGGTGAGGAAGAAGACTGTCAGCCAGGTGCCATGTGTCAGTGAATGAGGGGAAACCACCCTGCCAGCCGTGGAGAGGAGGAAGGGGTGGAGAGAGCTGAAGAGCACCACCCTCAGAAGAGCCTGTCCTGTTGTTTTGCTGTTGTGTAATAGGGAAGAACAAAATCTGACTCCATATCGGATCTGTTTCTTTTACATTAGCCTTTGTAACTATTGCTTGTTAATCACTAAAGGAATGTTGCCTATAAGCTTAAATTATACATAATGGCCCATCTCTAGGAACCCTGCCTCCCAGGTAACGAGCATTAAGCTAAAATACCTTTGTTTAGCTCACAGGAACCATCCTGACCAGGCCCACCTGTGAATGACTGCAAGCAGGCAGAAATTAACACATCCCCTCTGGAGGGTGATTGGAACCAGGAAATGTTTGACTTTACTCCCTCCCCTTTTAGTATAAAAGAAGCCTGAACTCTAACTCAGGCAAGATGGTTCTTTGGGAAACTAGTCCATCATCTTCTTGATCTACTGGCTTTCTGAATAAAGTCGTTATTCATTGCCCCAGCACCTCGTCTCCCGAATTACTGGCCTGTCACATGGTGAGTAGAAATGATCCAGAAGCAAAACTATTTCCCAGGGTGACAACAATTTATCTACCCCCGCCTAAAACACAGGAGATGTGAAGAAATCATGCCAGCAGTTGAAAAGGCTACAAAAAGAAGTGGTGTCTCAGAGGAAGACAGGTCTGAGTGAAGACAGGAGGTGCTTGGAGCTTTTCAGGGTGAGGGCGATGATGCAGCAGGGCACATACGTGGTCCCAGTGCAACAGTTCCACGGGGCACAGGGAGAGGTTGAGAGGTGGGCAAGGGAGGGTCTGTGTCGCAGCAGAGAAAGAAAGTCCATCATAGAAACGATGGTGTTGGGGAGGACAGATGGCAGTGGGATCACAATTCATCAGTAAAAGCAGAGATGGAAGATTTAAAGTAAAAAATCATCTGGGGAAGAATGCACGTGGATCCTGGTAGCCAGACTTAGATCTCCTGGCTGAGGTGGTGGCGGACAGATAGCACGGTCTCTATGTGCTAACCCAGCTGGACGCCAGGTCCTGAGCAGGTTTTCCCAACCTCAGCGAAACAGACATTAGGACATTTTTTGCTATTGTGTGGGTGTGGTGGTGTCCTGTTTATTCTAAGATGTTTAGCAGGATCCCTGGCCTCTATCACTAGATGCCAATAGCACCGCGAATCCTGGTGACAACCAAAAATGATGCCAGATTTTGCACAATGTACCCTGAGGGCAAAATCATCCCCCTTCTGGGCAAAAACATCACTTGGGGAGCACAGAGGCACTATACTAGTGGGAGCAATGCCTCCATTTCTGAACACATTTTTGGAACTAGTCGCCTCTATAGCTTCAGAATCACGGAAAAGAACTGGGTCTCATTATTTCACAGACATACCGAATTCTTCATATTTAAAAAGGTATTTCTCAGGCTTATCACCTCTCTCATTCCTTGATTTGAAGATCCTTTTGACTGTTTCTTCAGAGGATGATGAAGACTTGCCTCCACAGAGAATATTCAAAGGAATGTCCTGCATTTTCTTATTGATTGCCCCTGAGTTTGGGGAATGTGCCAAGTTCCTTCCTGCCCCAGGGCATTGCCCCATGTCATTGCTCTGTTAAGATCTCAGATTACAGAGCACTTCATCAGGAAGTTACTGCCTCATTCTATCATTCTTCAAAGCACTTTTCGCAATTATATTTGTATTGTTACTGGTGTGATTTCTTTAATATCTGTTTTCCCCCCCTAGAATATACATTTTATGAGGGCAGGAGCCTTATCTGTTTTATTCACTGCTGGATCATCTGCACCAAGTAGTTTTCTTGGCTCCATAGATATCTGTTAAATAAGTACTAAAAGAAAACCTTACGAGTATTTTGAGAGTATGTATTATACTCCCTAAAGTGATTGCTTTAAAGGGGACAATAGTCATATACATGCAGAGTTTTCTGGTTATTTTTTAAATCATATACCTTTATAGCAGTATATCTTTTGTTTGAGGGAAATTAGTATCCTAAATTTAACCAAAAAAACATAAAAAGAAGTATCATTCAAAGAATCATGAAACATACCTAGGTTTGGCCAGTAATTAGATCTCTGTGGCTGGTCCTTAGGCTAACATACTAAACTCACACAAACTCGGACTGGTTTGCTTAATTCTTTCAAATACACGTTGAGCCCCTGCTCTGTACTTGGTTTGGAATGTGCAGTGTGACTATTTCAGGGCTCACAACACCAAGCAAAGACGAATCCTACAGGGCCGACCTGAGGAAGCGTTCAGACGGCATTCTCCAGCTGGGTTCCTCAGGATCTCAGCCTTAGAAGTTTGCAGAGGAATCAGCAAGCATTCCAGCTGAATAAAAAAGACAAGAAAGAAGAGCACAGTAAGCTAAATGCAAAAAAAGCACACTCCGGGCCTTTGGGATGGTAATACTTTAGAATCCCAAGGAGGCACCTTGGAGAGTTTTATAATCGACATATAACAAACATTCTGCCTGCATGCTCTCTTAATAAGCAACGGTTCAGAATGTTTTTAAGTTTTAAAGTGTTTTCACCTTATCGGAACTTCAGGGATTAAGAAGTAAAACGTGTTTGAGAATTGATAATAGCTAAATTAAGATTTACAGTAAAAATTAATGCATCAGATGACCAAAGGGAAAAATTAAGATTTGACCAAATAAAGGTGCAAAAGCTAAACCACGGATACTAGTTGACTTCTCCTTTATAGCGATTTTACTTTCTTTCCAAAGATGCATATTAGTGAAATTAAGTTAAAATCAAGTATGTCTTGCTAAGTGCCTACAGAAAGATGATTTTCTATTCAAGGAGCAGATTTCTAAAAACTAGATAAAAAATAACAGAGAGAGGATGAAAATTAGTAGGAAATGGAAAACAGATTATTATAGGAGCTTTGAACTTAGCATAATTGGAAATATGTCATAGGATGAAGCTGTCAGGCTTGAAATTGCTCCTTGGCTATGTACTCATTCAATCCCACCCTGGGCTTTGGTTTCAATCACTGATGTAATGCTAACCAGAAAAGTAAATTATCTGAATAGTCTGGGTCGTGGTCCAGGACTATGCTCTACAACCCTCATTAGAGGGTCTAGCTCCCATTCTTTAATACATCCAAGTGGCAAAATTTATTCCAATTTGGACAGTCTCTCTATTGTCTAAGTTTTCTTTTGAAAAGTGGTAACAGGGTGAAAACATTTATGAAAGGAATATGTTAAGCTGTGCCTATTTCTGCTGATTTATGTAAAAGAGAGAGCTATGATTTCCAATCTAACTAAAATGTAATATTTGTTATATTTTATTCAAATCCTCATTGGTATGACTATAGTAATTGATGTTGATATATAATAATTTGCTTAAGATTCCACTGTTATTAAAATCACGTTATTTCAAACATTTTTTCATACAATTATATTTATTTCTTATTTTCTTTAATTATTGAAAATAGGATGCCTACACTATACTATACATTTATTTCTAATCTGACAAACCTAAAAATGAGCATCATTTTTAATTGATCCATTACGACCGAGCAGGAAAGAGGCTCAGAGAAATTCAAAGCACATTGTCTAATCAGCTAAGAGACTTTCTTAGCAACCTACCACTGCCACAGAGTCCTTGCAGAAACTGGGTTATAAACTCCAGGCTCTTACAGCCTAACACAAACACTAACAGACACAGACACTTGAGATTTAACACGGCAAAAAAGGCTGCCTCTCTCTCCCTCTTCGGAGATGGCCCGCATTCTGTCTATGGAGTATGTATCTACTTCCAGTCTGAGCACCCAACCCCGACACCTCATGGCCTTTCTCTTGCCTTTCAGTGTATCTCTCTGAATAAATCTACCTTTACTCAAAATTTAAAAATTTGAAAATTAAATAAGTAAAATAAAATGGCAAAAGAATATTTATTATTACAAAGAGGTTAAAAAAAAAAACCCTTACTCTTTCTAAAGGTCTAATATTTTTAAATGTTTTCAATAACTTGGTGAATGTAGAACAAGAATCCTGAAAGCTAAAATAATCTAAAGGACACATTTAACTTGATATTTTTCAGACATTCCAAACATGACAATTAAAAAAAATAAAATAAATTAAATTCCTGTATTATCTGAAGCCCAACTCACTACATCAGTTCTCCTCAGAAATTATTTAATTATAATCTGCTCCATTCTGCCAAATTTAGTGAAATGAACATCATTTTAAAGGTGAGTTACAACGAGTTAAAGGATGAATCTTCCCTGAAAATTATTGTCATTTATTATTTACCATTTTTAGTACATATTATTGACTATTTACTATATGTTTTATATAAATTATATCATTGGATTATAATTTTATTATTATATAAGTAATATTTGTTTTTACATCTTGTTTATTAATATTAACACTTTATATTTTAAGTTTCCTTTACATAAAGCGTGTCTCGTAGCCAGTCAGACCTCTTCCTCCTCCTCCTGTCTCCTTACACTTTTTCCTGGGCCTGGGATGTGGATTCTTTCCTACCCCAAGGCTCTTACCTCTCCCCATGAGCCCAGGGAGCTCCAGGCCAGCCTCCTGCCTTTTCCCTCCTCAGAATACAGAAGTGGATTCAGGGCTGGGCCAGTTTGGTGGGACCATAGAAAACAGAATGATAGGGGAAAAGGCTAGAGTTGCTCCCTAGGCATCCAGCTTTTAGGGCTGCTCACTCCCCATTAGAGATATAATCACATTTAGTGCAAATCCCAAGGGTAGTGTTATGTGGGACTGAACACATATGAGGTGGTCAGATGGTGGAGCATCTACAATTTTCTGAGCCTATTGGCATCACAGAACTAAATCATCTTATGAGTACTAGAATGTATTCATCTCAGCCCCCCATATCCACAGGCCTAAAACTACAATATATTCTCCACCAAGTTAGCCTGTGTGGTCACCTGTGCAAAGAACATCAGACCAGTCTGTCTACTTCCATTTGGGGCCGATGCTACTCCCAGCTTTGCCTCACTTTAGGGACCAGGGCTCCTGAGGGCTGAGATCTGTTCCCTTGGCCCACTTGTTCCCGAATCAGGGTCCACACAGGTGTCCCCTCTAGTCCTGAGCATCCATTATTTAGCCCAAGCTCAAATGAAATCACTAGGGATTAGCCCCCACCATCAAAGTTGTAGACTTAGGGCAGAATTCAGATGTAGCTTGATCAAAAACACCTCCAAAATTGTGGAGATGTTTTTCACTGATTCATAAAATAAATACTTCTTGAGGAACCACTTTATGCAAGACCCAGAGCTGTGTTCCTAAGATACAATAATACATGAGTTCCTCCCTTCATAAGGCTTGTCATGGGCCATAATGGACAACAAGGAGTGGCTTGAGAGTATTTTAGCCTTCACAATCAGCATTAATTTCTCTCAAAGCCATCTCAAATAAGCATACTGCCCAGAGCACAGCATGCTCTGCTCTGCGAACACATCCTCAAGACCAGTTCCAAGCCCTTCCCTTCTAAACAACAAGCTGCCCTCAAGCTCCATCCTGGCCAACGTCATGGCCTGTATAATTTATTCTTTAATCATATTGGGATAAGTGCAAGGAGCTTTAAGCACAGTTCCCTCATCTTAAAAATAGTCATATCCACCTCATAGGGATGTTGTGAACCACAAGGATGGTTTAACATATGCAAATCAATCAATATCAACAAAAGAAAAGACAAAAGCCACATTATCATCATAAAAGATGCAGAAAAAGCATTTGATAAAATTCAACATCCATTCATGATTAACAACTCTCACAAAAGTGGGTATAGAGGGAACATATCTCAATAAAAGCCATTTATGACAAACCCACAGCCAACATAATAATCAATGGTGAAAAGTTGAAAGCCTTCTTACTAAATTCTAGAACAAGACAAGGATGCCCACTCTCACCACTTCTATTCAACATAATATTGGAAGTCCTAGCCACAGCAGTCAGACAAAAAAAGAAACAAAAGGCATCCAAATTGGAAAGGAAGAGGTAAAACTGTCATCATATGCAGATGACATGATACGTTCTACAAAGAAAACCGTAAGAACTCCACACAAAAACTATTAAACAAATTCACAATTCAGCAAGATATCAGGATACAATATTAACACATGGAAATCTTTTGTTTTTTTACACTAATGATGAAATAACAGAATGTGAAAAAAAAATCCCTTTTAAAATTGCATCAAAAAAATACCTAGGAATAAACATCCCCAAGGAGGTAAAAAGACTAATATATTGAGAACTATAAAACATTAATTAAGGAAACTAAAGATGATTCAAAGAACTGGAAAGATTTCCCTGCTCTTGGCTTGGAAGAATTAATATTATTAAAATGGCCATACCATCCAAAGCAATCTACACATTTATCGCAATCCCTATCAAATTATCCATGACATAGTATGGAGGTTGTTGGAAAGGTAGGTAAGAATTCCCAAAAGAACAAAAGGCAACCTTGTACTCTTTGGCTCATTGTACAAGGGTACTCACCAGTTTACACAATCAACCTCTCCCCAACATCAAAACTCCTCTGGCTTTCCATCTGAGGGCTGGCATCTGCTTTCCCTCATCAGACATTAACCTGACCAACCATGCCAAGTACTTTTCTCCTGGGCTTTGTACATGGCTGGCACTAACTCGTTGGTTGGCTCAAATTAAATATCCCATTCAAAAGAACTAAACTCTCCCCTTCAGGGCTTGGTAAGTTTAGTGCTGGTGTCTAAGGAGAAACCTTAAGGTGGGGAGAAGATGAGACCAAGTGTCAGAGATTCCCTGGCTTACTTGACCCTGACCAGTCTCCTCACGTTCATGAACTTGGTACTTTGGTAGAGTGAATACCTGTTCTTGCACCTGCCTGGCCTCCAACAAGGTTATGTTGGTATCAAGCACCTCCCACCACCTAGCCTTGGCTGATGGGTCTAAGAATATGGGCCTAACCCAAGCTGAGCCAATCGGAGCTCTTCTCTGGGATTTGGAATTGGAACCACCAGCCTGCAGATCAGTTGGGCCGTTCAGCTGCAAGTAGAGAACAATACAGGAACTGATGGAGGTGGCTCCCTTTATACTAATCCTATCTTTATTATAAATGTTTATATTTTGTTCATCATTATCGTTGAAATTTATATTAAAATAGTATTTATCTTGATCACCTAATTTTTTGGTGCCCTCTAAAATTCTACACCTTTCTCATTTCATCCTAGACTCAGTTGTTTTCTGCCATATGGATTAGGAAACCAAGAAAGCAATTATGCAGGAAAAGAACTAGAAAAAGAAACAAGCATACAAAGAAAAAGTTAGAAGAGACAGAAAGAGGATATTCTGGATTTTTCATGCATTCCTG